GCTGATCAGTGGTTTGAATCCAAGTGTTGAAGTTTGTTGTGAAGTGCGATCGTTGGGGTGAGTGTAGTTTTGATTATTGCAATTATCGTACACACAATTATTATGACCAGGCTTTACATTCAGTATACATTTATAAAAAGTTCATACTAGGAATTAATAGTTCACTGAATACCTCTTCAACTAAGATACAGCAGTCTAAATGTAGAACATAAGGAATAAAAATGTTCCCACCTCAAAGAGCAAGAAATATACACTAATACTACCATCAAATATTGTGTCATAAAGAATTTGGGAAAAAATAGAAGATTAAATATTATTGGTAACAAATGTACCACTATAGCACACACAAACACACATCTTTTTAACAACAAAAGATATTAAACACATCAGAGACAAGGCAAACTGTGCACATCTTATGAAAATTTGAAGAATCATACTGGAATCTTGTACCAGAACCATGACACAGGATCAACACCGTTACCAGCTGTGTCACTGCACTGGCTTCTTACAGTTTTGAATGACTGCTGCTTACAATAATTGGCACGATTCTTGCTCTTCACTTGCAATAAAAGATAATTTTTCTTGTGTTTTTTTGTGCGTCTGTACAGCTTGTCTCTCTTCAGCAATGAGTTATTCTGTATCATAGTGTCTTTTTCAAAGGTTGAGTTTAGAAATGGGACTTTGCATGGCCCAAGGAGAGAATTTTGATAAATAAAACAGGTTAAAACATGGTAGAGGATGGGGAAATACGACTTGAACGCTGCCAAAGAGTTTCTGTTTCCCGTCCTGACGGAGCACGAACAAGTCAAATTTGCAGTTAAAAGGAACAACAACTTTATGTGTCTGAAAACCGAACATCTCAAGTTCTTGGATGTGACCAACTTCCTCGCTCCAGGATTCAGCTATGACAAGTTTCTCAAAGCCTATGAATGCCCTCAAACTAAAAGTTGGTAATTATAACTTTTACGGTTTCATGTCATTAAGGATTTCCTAACACTAAACTATGATTTTGTTAAATATTTTTAGGGTTCTTTCCCTATGGGTGGATGGATTCCCTGGACAAGCTTGACTACCCAGCTCTTCCTCCCCATGAAGCTTTCTACTCCGCCCTCACCAACAGTAACTGAATATCACCCAAGATGATGATCAATATTGCCATCACGTCTGGCAAGAGAATAACATGCAGTGTTTCCAAGATTTCCTGGTTTGGTTGACAACCTGGATGTCCAGCCTTTCTGTGGAGCTTTGGAGAAGATGTGTGCGTTCTGGAAAGACGAGGAAATCGACATGCTGAGACAAGTTATTTCCATCGCTGGCGTGACGCTGACCTATCTCTTCATGACTTTGGAACCAGACATCTTCTTCTCTTTGTTTGATGAGAAAAACAAAGATCTGTACTATCTGTTCAAAAAGAATATGGTGGGTGGACCAAGCATCATATTTCACCGCTACCACGAAAAAAACAAGGTAAAGAAGCCAAAACTTGTCAGAAGATCGTGGAATATGATGCCAACGCGCTCTACCTCTGGGCAATCATGCAAGATATGCCAACGGAGACATTCAGGAGAAGAAGAAAAGAGACAGGGTTTAAGAAAGAAAGTTCAGTCAAGATGGCGACGGAGTGGTTGGAGTGGGAGGCTGAAGCACGGGGTATCCGCATCCGACATCAAGTCAACGATACCGAGAAAAGGATTGGTGCTAGAAAGACTGCCTGTGAATGGGTTCCATGGTCCCAGCCAAACTGTCTTTCAATTTCACGGTAAGTTAGAACTTGGGTATGTCATGGTTTATCATACTCCTGTAAATGGGTTCCCTGTGGTTATCGAATTTTTTACTATCTATTTACTGTTATTTTTCAAACTCTAGGTTGTTTCTGGCACGTCCATGACTGTCATTTAACCAAAGGGAAAGAAGTAAACAAGAGACGAAAGAAACCTATGGCCGAATTGAGATATGAGAGATATGCTGAGGAAAACAAAATCATGCCTCGTCCGCGCAGAAGTCTTATTGGAAGTTACTTTGGCAAAGAAGTTTTGCTGGCCACCCCCTTGTTGAAATGGTATCTGGAGCATGGTTTACAAGTCACGCACATCTACCAGATAGTGGAATATACACCGAGTCCATGCTTCAAGCCTTTTGGAGAAGCGGTGTCCAACGCTAGAAGGGATGGTGATAGAGACCCCAACAAAGCCATCATTGCGGATACTATGAAACTGGTAAGTTTTTTCTACAAACTACAAAATAAGTGTTGTTTGACGCGATAAATATATGACACTCATATCAACGTCTTTATACAGGTGGGAAATTCTAGTTATGGCAAGACCATCACAGACCAAGAGCGACACAGAGAAATCAAGTTTTGTGATGAGACCAAGACCTCCTGTTTAGTCAACAGCTTTCTTCCGTCAGTTGGAAGTTATTGATGACGATACGTATGAAGTCCAGTCGGCCAAAAAGAGGATAAGTCTAAACCTTCCCATGCAGATAGGAATCTTTGTTTACCAATATGCCAAGCTAAGAATGCTAGAATTTTATGATTTTTTAGATAGATATTTAGATCGGAGTGGTTATCAGTATTGCGAGATGGATACTGATTCTGCATATATAGCGATTTCTGGGGAGAATGTGGAAAGTTTGGTGAAACCAGAGTTGAGGGAGGATTTCGAATCGGATAAACACAACTGGTTCCCTCCTACAGATACTCCGGAGAACAAAGCCTATGATAAAAGAACGCCGGGGTTGTTTAAGGAAGAGTGGTCTGGGGAAGGGATTATTTATTTGAGTTCTAAAACTTATTATCGTTTTGGAGGTTATGATAAGTTTAGTTGTAAAGGGGTTAACAAGAAGACGAATGAAATTAACAAAGAGAAGTACTTAAATGTATTATTAACCCAGCGAAGCAATTCGAGTATCAACAAGGGTTTCAGGGTAGTCAATAATAGGATGTACACGTACACCCAGACGCGGGATGGGTTTTCCTACTTCTACCCCAAACGTAAAGTATTGGAAGATGGGGTTACCACTATCCCGTTAGATATTTAGTGTGTTATAAATATAATGTAAATGTACAAATAGATCTTGAGGGTGAACATACCTCTTTGAAATCCCCTTTTTTCCCTCTCTTCCCTATTGTCCCTCGTTTTTCAGTTAAAATCAATCAAATATAATGTAATAATTGAATTCAAGCCTTTTACGTTTTACATTGTTCTTTATTAGAGCCAAATTTCGTTCTAAACTACAGATGAGAAAAACCGTGTGTCTCACCGTCGAACGACGTTGGCTTCTAACCACGCCGTCCGCCGGTGATGACGTCACGACTGTCGCGGTATGCAGCTACATGGCTCCTCTAAATACCCTACTGGTATTTACAATCAATCAAACGTGAAAAACTGTTCAAACTAAAGTTCATTCTTTATCTAAACTCAATCTTTAAACGTTTATAGTCCATCGATAAGGCTCCTCGTCGGGGAATCGTCATCTTCTATTCTTCCTGGGCAACCACTTCTGCCTTTGCTGGAGCGACTGGAGGAATTCTCCCTTCCAGCGATTCCAAAACTCATTTGCAAGAAACTGTACTCTGCGCCATCTGCGTTTAAGGTACATGTCGGCACAAAGGAAAGTTCTTAAGGACTCGTCGTCTAGCTGTTGTCCAGAGTTCTCGAGCATTGAGTTGAGAACGTTGCGGGTTGTCCTTATCTGCCTCTCCCAGGCTCCGCCCATATGGCTGGCTGCGGRTACGTTCATCTTAAAACTTGTCCAGTCACAGCCTTTCTCTAGCAAGAACCGGTGGATCTTAGACTGATCCATTTCCTCGAGGGCGTCCTTTAGCTCTCCTTTAGCCCCAACAAAATTAGTTCCTTGGTCGGACCTTATTTGTCTGACAGGCCCTCGTCTGGCGATAAAGCGGCGCAATGCGTTTATGAACGCGTCTGTATCCAATGCGTTGGCGKTCTCGAGGTGGACTGCGCGTGATGCCATACAAGTAAATAATACTCCGTAACGCTTCATTTCCTTGCGCCTTTCCTTTATTGCCCACGGACCGAAATAGTCTACCGCGCAAAAGGTAAATGGGGGCGAGGGTTCTACCCTATCCGTAGGCAGGTCGGCCATTCGCTGTTCTTGTACGCTACCACGAMGTTTACGGCATTTTACGCATCTGTAAAGGTACTGCGCTACGGCAGAATTCCCACCGATAATCCATACGCCTGTAGCTCGTATCTGGTTCATCGTGATTCCTCGGCCTTGGTGTTCGACTATTTCGTGGTGGTGTCTGATTATTAGGTGTGTAACATGTCCCTTTCGTGGCAGGATAATAGGATGCTTGAGTTTGTTGGATACATTTGCACGCCGGATGCGACCGCCGACTCTCAAGATTCCATCGGCGTCTACGAAAGGATCTAGTCGGTATAACTGACTGCATTTCTTCATGGATTTGTTTCGCCTTCTTGCCTTCTCTCTCGTCGTCTCGGCGTCGGTCACCTTAAGTGAGCGTAGAACTCGCAGCTCGTTTGAATAAGCTGTCACTTGCACAAGCTTGATAATCTTGTTTTCAGCTTGACGCAGCTCTTCAACTGTCAGCGGCTGGTCTATCTTCTTAAACGTACGCTCTGCAAACTGTGGGGGTTGTTTATCGTTCTTACCACTTGCCTTGTCGCGCAACTTGTTGATGTATCTCAGGCACAACGCCACTGCTGTTTTAGCCTTGTGCCAGCTAGAGAATCTTTCTAGACGTTCGAGGATCGTCGCAAATTTCATGACCTCCTTTGTCGATGTTGAGAAGACTTGCGACTCCTTCTTTACTTCTGGGTCGTCGTCAGAGAGTACGGGGGTGACTTCTGCTTGTTCCTCTAGAGGCTTGACCTGTGCCTTCCACAGGAAGTTAGGTCCTGTCAACCATCTTGAATCATGAACTAGTTCCCGGGCGGTGATACCCCGTGAGGCGGCGTCCGCTGGATTCTCGTTTGTACGTACATAGCTCCATTGGTCGGGAGAACTATGGTCTCTGATTTGCTGTCCTCTGTTTGAGACGAATACGTGAAATCGCTGTGCGTCGTTGCAAATGTACCCTAAAACCACTTGACTGTCTGTCCAGTAGAATTCTGTAATGTTACTGTATTCGAGCTCTTCTTGTAGTTTAGTACTGATTCTTACAGATGTCAATGCCGCTGTCAGCTCCAGTCGTGGTATAGTCATGGGTTTTAGAGGGATGACTCGCGCCTTGCCCATTATAAACGAACAATGGACTTCGTCGTTCTCGTTGACCAATCGCAGGTAGGAGCATTGACCGTATCCCGAGTAGCTGGCATCCGAAAAGTGGTGTAATTCGATGCTCTTTATTTATCCAAAGTCTGCTGGTCTGTAACAACGTTGGATCTTGAGGTCTTTCAGCGTCGTTAGATCTCTCCTCCACCCTTCCCATCGAACGCGCAGCGTCTCAGGAACGGGATCGTCCCAATCAGATTTCTCCTTGCACAGCTCTTGGAGGATCTGTCTTCCTACCAACAGTACTGGTGCGACAAACCCGAGGGGGTCATAAACGGAACTCACCGTAGCGAGTATTACTCTGCGCGTGAGAGGTCTGTCTTGAAGTATTATCCTGAACTGGAAAGTGTCTGTCTCCACGCACCAGTGAAGTCCCAGAGTACGTTCTACTGGCAGCGTATCATTAAGTAGGTCTAGTTCCTTCAGTTCCTTTGACCTATCCGCAGGCAACACTGACTGTATTACCCTCTTTGAGTTGGAGGTGAACTTGTGAAGTCGTAGGCCGCCCTTTGCGCACATCAACTGACTATCTTGAATTAGCTTTATTGCTTCGTCCTCTCTAGCTACAGACTTCAACCCGTCGTCCACGTAGAAATTTCTTCTAATGAAGTTGGCASCTTCACTACCGATCTCTTCCTCGTAATCATCTGCCGTTTTCTTCAATCCGTAGTTGGCACACCCGGAGGAAGACGCTGCACCGAATAGGTGCACAGTCATTCTGTCCGTTGCTGGTTCCTTGGTGGTATCTCCGTCCTCCCACCAGAGGAATCTTAAGAAGTTTCGGTGGTGCTCGTCTACTCTGAATTGGTGAAACATTGATTCTATATCGCAGGAAAATGCAACCTGTTCCTGTCTGAATCGACATAAGACTCCTACCAGACCACTCCTACCAGTCATATCTGGGCCTTGCAACAAGTGTTCGTTCAAAGAATGACCGTTATACTTTGCGCTGCAGTCAAAAACCACGCGAACTTTGTCGGGTTTTTGAGGGTTGTATACCGCATGATGCGGTATATACCACACCTTGTCTTCTTCGTCTCCATCTTCTTGGGGAACTTTCTCCGCGTATCCYTTTCCGATAAGATCGTTCATAAAGGATGTATAATCTCTGTGTTGTTTACTGTCATTCTCTAGGCGAGACTTTAGTTTGCTAAGTCGACGCAGGGCGAGGGTTTTGTTATTCTGTAAACGCGGTTCCGATTCTCGAAACGGTAAAGGCATCTGGTAATGGCCGTCCGGTGCTTACCAAATACTTTCCTCCATCCTTGTTAGAAACTTTCTGTCATCTTGAGACAAGGGCGTTCCACGTGTCTGTTTCTCGAAGAAATCGGCTTCCAGTAGCCTTCTGACTTGCAGTGGATTTATCAACTCCCTTACTTCGTTCTTTACAGAAAACAAGCAAGTTTTTTTGTCGTTTGGGTTGATAATTCTCGTGATAGAGTTCACTACTTCATGTGCTACTAATCTATGACTGACGCCAATGGGATCCCATTCCTCGTCGGGAGGAGATGGGCGTATGTTTCCTATAATCCCCCAGCCGAGATCTGTCCTTTGTGCGTAAGGCTCGTTGTTATCACCTGAGATGATCTCGCGAGGGATAATAGCTCTTGTACAGTCTGATCCGATTAGTAGTGCGATCTCAACGTCGTCTCGGTACGGCATTAACCGGTTTGCTATCCTCGATGYGTGCGGCCATTGTCGAGCTGAATCAGGAGTGGGGATCTGATTTCTTCTAGCTGGAACTGTCTTCCGCGTGTAGGCCTTGGGYAGAGGGATGCTAATTTGGTTGCTAAGATCACTAACGACCAAGCCCTTGACTTTCTGACACGTTATCATCTCCGACTCAGCATGCATCGTAGACAGCAGTAATTGCGTTTCTATTCCCGAGGCTTCAAGCTTCTTGAGCGTCGTCTCTTTAACAAAGGTCGTGTCCGATTGGTCATCTAGAAGTGCGTAGATCAGCTCGCGTCGTTCAGGTTCATCGCTGTGGTGTATCCAAACTGGTACAATCATAGAGTTATACCCTTCTCATCGTTTCTCGTTAAACAGTGCGAAGTGCCGCGATCTGCCTTACTGACTTGAATTTCATCAGCTCTCTTTGGAGTATCTCTGTCGCCGCTTTGATCAACTTCGTTCTT